GTAATTTTAAAATATTATCTTATATATGAGTTTAAAGTTTTTGTTAATTAATTTTTTTAATCAAATAGTATCTGCATTAATTTCCTTTCCATATTTCTAGTGTTATAGAATTTTTAGTTTGTGTGTAATGTTTGAATTGATTGTATTAAAATTTGTTGTGATTTTTTCTTTCTTTTGTATACAAAAACATAATCTAATCTATAAAGTTGTTTGTTTACATTCTTTGATTAGGAGCTGCTTATCAGTTATTAATACAACTTTATATTGTTGGGTATTTACGGACTTATCATTGCCGTGATCATCAGTACCGATATGGCTATCTAGCTTGCGGCCTTGCTGGTCTCTCTACTAGTATGGCTATCGGCAGTGTTGATGATGTTGGTGTTAGGTAATATCTCTGTTTCTCTTGGAAAGGATTGGTCTTACTCTTGCTAAGGGTATAGATATCATATCTCTTCAATTGTTTCTTAATTTATTTTTTGCACTTGCTCCTTTGATCAATTATTTAGCTACATATATCAGAGTCATGATATGATGGCCATTTTTTAGGTGACCATTTTCAGTGTCATTTTAGATAGTATACAATATCAAATAATGTATTGAAATTTGATATTCTGAACTGTATTCGTTAGATCGTAAATCAGTGTGAAGTTGCAGGTAGCAACATTTTCAGGCACAAGGAGTTTAATCTTCAAACACTTGGAATTGGTGGCTTAGGTGTTGAGTTTGCAGATATATTTCGAAAAGCTCCCATGTTTTCCCTCCTCACGTGACAAATAAGTAAGATAACTGATTCTTCTAGTTGCGCTGATACCTTTTTGGTATAACTTTATACCACTCTTTACTGGAAAGACTTTGATCTTTCAGATTAGTGATCAAGCATGTAAAGGGTAAAGGGTATGTTGGGGCACCTGGTACTGGAAAAACTCTCATGGCTCGTCAAATTGGAAAGATGTTGAACAAGAAAGAACCAAAGGTTTGGAGTTTGATCCACCTTTTTCTTTAATAATTAAATTTCTGAGAGTTGTAAATCTCTTAGGACTAAGATTTGTTCTGTTCATTTGAATGATTACTTTTCTATATTTCAACTGTAATTTCAAATAAGACTTTACCAATTGATGACACATGAAACTAAGATGAAATTAAGAACTAGGTACTCATTATCACAATCTTGTATTCTTATTTTTCATAACAGGCTTAGGTAATGAATCGAATAAATTCTGCCGGCTGTAAACGTTGAACCATGTCGAATCATGTTCAAGGGGCTCGCGGTAAGGGAAATATATATATTTCAAGTGCACTTAGGCTTGTTTTTAAGTTTAAGCAAGAAGGGAATGTGGTTAAGTGAGCTTCATTGCATGAAGAACTTGGGTCCAACAGCTCCAGTGCAGTGGGGGAGGATAAGATTCTGAAGAAGGGCTTGGTGGTAAATTATTGTGGGATTTGTTGATTTTATAAAATTTTCAAATTTTTTACATTAATAATTTTCTTTTTAAATAGAACCTATTGGGCATGATTTGAAAAATGTGCGCATATGATTTTGTCACCTGACATGGTTGTCAGAATTAAGATACAAATAGGCCGCTATTTGTGCTTAACTTTTTTAGCACAAATAGCGATATTGTGCGCTATACCAATGGGCAAGCCTATAGTGGGCATAAATAATATTTTAGTTGCTGCATTGTTGCCATTGGTCTATGGATACATTTGTTAGTGCCCTTAAGCTTCATAGGGCACAAATAATTTTTTGTGTGCACTTGTCATATTTTTTGTAGTGTATTGGCGGATATTATATGTTGAAATAAAACCAAAGAAGTTGGTCTTTGCTAGCCATATATAGTTAAATTGGGAACACAATGACACAATAACACACCTAAAAAATATGACAAATATAGAAGAAGAAATATTTTCAATCAGAATTACGAATTATTAATAGAAAAATAAGACACAAGCTTAGACATATGAAAATGGATGCACTTTATAGAAGGTGCTCCTCCCTCATGAACAGAGAGCCTTAAAGATATTTACAGGTTCAGACACCTTATAAATTTAAGGAAAACTAATAAAAAAAGTTTCAAAACATTGAATTTTAACCAAAAGACATGTACTAACTTTATTTAATGGTTAGGACAAAGCCCACCTTTAAACCAATCCAATTAAAATGGCCCAAAAATTAAGTTTTTAATTTTGCCCCTGACAGCAACACAACATTTCGTCCCTCCCTCCTTCTACCTTTTCTGCATTTCCTCCATTCATATAAAAAGGACAAACATTGATTTTTTAGTTAAGTTTTACATTTCATGGTTACGCATGGTGGAATTGAAGCCGTGCTCCCCGCGGAGAGAGAGATCGAGAGTATATGAGATAGAAGATGCGCTCCCCGCAGAGAGAGATCGAGAGAAGATGAGATAGAGGATGTGCTCCCTGCGGATAGAGAGACCGAGAAAAGATGAGATAGAAACCTCGCCGCCCGCTGCAATTTCTGAAATTGCAATGAAAGTTTGATTGACACATCCCGACCCAGAATGTCCACTAGGACTCCGAATCGAGCTATGTTGGCGGACACCTAGAAAGTGACGAAGCCATAAAGTGTAGTGATGTGGAAAATGTGAATAAATTTAAACCTAAAAGTGCCTAAGTACATGAGTGTGCGGTGAGCGGGTATGGACCCATTTCACACGAGATGTCAAAGTATAAGTAAAGTACAATAGGGTAAGATAAGGATTATACCATCATAGGAAGCCACCTGTACTGGGATAAGAATCCTCGTCGATATAGAAACTTTGCTACTAGAACCTAGAGGGGTGCAAAACAAGAAAACATGAGTGGGCAAAAACAAAACTTTTCAAAAATCCATTTCTCTTTCCAAAAATAATAACTCCTCATCGTAAAAACGATATAATTTCCCAGAAAATAATACTACGTATGTACGTAAAAACAATGCACAAAGGCAGTAAAAACCAAGTATGCCATGTCATAGCATTTCAACAAGGAAATATGTAAGTCAAGTGAAATAAATCAATGTAAAATAATATGCCAGCAGAAGTCACCTAACGTGACCTGTACGACTAAACCTATAGCTCATTAACCAATTCATGCACACGAGTTGGAACCACTTAATGTGGTCTGTACGACAGGACTAGGTGTAATAAGTACGCTCAAGTGCTAGGATCACGTGAAGATTGTGCATATAATCGCGGGTCACCTACAAGTCGGAACCACCTATAGTGCCAAAGAATCAACATGAAGGAACCTATCACGAGTTCAGTTTTAATTTCGTTCTCCACAACTCTCCGATGACCTTCTTTGGTTGGGGATTATCTGGTCCTTTGTCTCGTTGTCCGGATGTAAAATACAGCCACCCATTCCAGAAACCAACTAGCGTCGTTTTAACCCCAAACGGAAGTTTCCCAAGAACTGACCACTTCTGCAATTATCGAAAATCAGAAATAAGAGTAGAAAAATTGCCAAGATTTCTATAACAAAAGAAAAATTGCCAATATTTCTATAACAAAAGAAACTTATGATCCGTTATCAGCTATAGCTCGTTTGTAGAAACGTAGTGTCTGCATTTATATCAATTACTACATGCAAGCTACCATCCTATTTGCAAAAGTGGAGCAACTAAAAGAAAAAGGAAGAGGTAGTTGAACTGTTGAACACATTGTGGTAGTATAACCCTCCTCCATACCAACAATGACTGCCTTGCAGTTGATTGGTTTTTGTTCATTTGTGTATGTGTAAAACAATTAAGCATATATAGTCCGTCGTATAAATATAATGAGGAGAACGGAAATACCAGTGTATTCAAGTTGAACTGGAATATTTCACCAACAAAGTTATCTTCTTAGTCACAGGGTGCTTCTCAGTTGTGCCTCCAATAATAACAATAGAGTTGTTGACAACAGCACAAGCAAATTCAAAATGGGAATCTAGCTAAGGCATAGGAGGTAACTCTTTCCACTTCATTTCGCCATCCATCATGTAAACATCACTATATACAACCTGAAACAATCAGAAATAACAAGATGAAACTTATATAAGAGGACAAGTCCAGATTTATCCTTCGGTTGATAGGATTTTGTTCTATGTTTGGGTATGGCCTTCTGAAGCTTCTTGTAAGTAATTGCGTGGTTCCTCGTAAATAGTGCATGGTTCTAACTAGGTGAGTAAAATAGGTGTTCGTGTTGAATATATGGTGCATTGAAACTCAGTAAAGGAGCAATACAATGTTCTCACATAATCAATGGGTACCGTATCCAGAAAACACAAATAGAAGATTCTTTATCTGTATAGCAGCTCTATCCAAACGAGGCATGGCTGCCTCAGCCATACTTTCCCCTTTTAATTCTGGTCCGGGCAAATCAGCATAGGTTGCTGATGAAACACTCCCAGGAGCAGTATCGTTTTTGTAGATGCTCCCCTATAGGTAACCATGGTCAACATTCAGAGCTCAAACAAGGATCGATTAGAACTTTAATTGTTATTAAATTCACATATCTTCTCCTTGCTTTTCCTACATTTTCAAGTGGAACCCGAAAAGCATTCCATTTCTCATGAACCGAATAATATAGGTAAGAATTCACATCAAGCAGACATAAATCCGCAACAATGGGAGTGAATGAACTCGTCGAAATCCAAATCATAGTTTACAATTACCATCAACGAGCTTCAATAATCAACCAACTCTCACATCAGAGAGAGAGAGAGAGAGAGAGAGAGAGTCAGTCACCGCCAACGGAGGAGGGATGGAGCTGCTGCACATACCGGCACAGATTAGTAATTGTTGCAGTGAGGCTGGGGCTACTTTTGTAATTATTGGTTTTCTCCGGGGTCAGAGAAAATTTACTTATTTTTTCTAAGATTTTAAAGTGAAAATCGGCATAGCCACACAATTAATCGATCTTAGTTGGCGTTGAGCTAGCCTCAAATTGATGTTTTTCTTTTTTCCTTTAAGAAAAGCACCAACTTCAAATTATTTCATATTTTTCGGCAAACAATAAGATAAATACATTACATTCATCTAAATTACGGAGAGATAATTTCGAGTACAGAACCTTGATGGATTGATAAATGTTCTTAACCAACAAAGCTAAAGTTCACTTGAAACCTCAAATCAATGTTCACAAAGCATATTAATGCACGAATATCTTATTGAAGAAGTTTACATTAGGTAGCCTCGACCGTGTAAATTATGAACGAAATGAACCATTGCTATCACGAATAATAACAACACTCCCCTGCAGAACCATCCTTCCAAGCACCATCGGCATTCACTTCAACAAATTTCCGTCACTGCTCTGCTCCTGACAAGCGACAAGACAACCGCAACGAGGTCCAGACCCCTTGTAAACAGCCAGACACCTACCTAGCTAGCCTTCCAAGTTTCCCAAACGCAGAAACATATGACACCAAATGCACCAACTCAGACATCTTCTATAGTGAGTGTTCCCTCAACTACTGCGAAAATAGCACTGTCAGTTGAGATGGTTGAGGTACATCCATGCCATGTATCCTCTTGGGACGAGCGAGTTCTACACAAGTGATCGTAGATTTCATTCCAAGTTGCTCCATTGTCAAAGTGGTTAGTTCTGCGAACCTGCGTACACACCTGCATATACATACGCATTGTAAAGGAACGAGGATGAGCAGAAGATAACCGCGCTCATACCTGATAAATCATTGTGAGAAGACTTAATCTCTACGAGTTTATTCATTGTAAGTAAATATGCCATGAGATATATCAAATGCGTTCAATTTCGAATATGAACATACAGATAAAATCACTACTTACCGTGTTGTCCCATTTAACCCTGTCCGCCGGGTTGCTCCAAGACAGCATATAGTCGCAGTTGTTACCATCGGCGTTCTTGCCGCGATACACAACAGCGGAAGTAGAGCCATAACTATAACTGGGGTTTTTGACGGTCAGAAACGCAGCCCACTGGCCATTTCCAATCAATGGTGGGTACACTATGTCAACGCCAATCCAATCTTTCTGACCAACACATCTGACGGTGTCTCCTGTTGCATTGTAAATAAGGACGAGATTGGCGAGTTTTGTACCCGATTCGTCCTTCAAATGCTCGAGGTGTGCTCGTGCCTTCACGTAGTCCTTTCCCCTGGCTTTTTTCATATCCATTGCCGCGCGTGCCCTGTCGATTCTTGTTATTTTCCCAGATCTATACTCTGGCATACCCTCCAAAGTTGCGGTTGTGATGGGGTTGCCAAACACGTCTCTCCCCATCTCCATCTCTCTCTCTCTCTCTCTCTCTCTCTCTCTCTCTCTCTCTCTCTCTCTCTCTCTCTCTCTCTCTCTCTCTCCTCTCTCTCTCCCTCTCCTCCCTCCCTCCCTCCCTCTCTCTCTCTCTCTCTCTCTCTCTCTCTCCCTGCCTCCCTCCCTCAAATTAGCATCTCAATTCCCCCATCTGAGCTGAAAGGAGTTCAAAGGACATAAATCACAGCTACTGGAAAAGGACTAATCAATTCAAATACTTTAATTCCAATCAGGGTATATATCCAACAGCAATTATTTGGAAATTGAAACCGAAAATTAAAACTTAATCCTAAATCAAATTATAACACCAACAGACATGAATTGAAATTGGAAATTAAACTAAACCCTAACTCATCCGTCATACCTATCTGGTTAAGCCTTCAATCTGGACAGTCGGTGCCGCCGTCAGCAGGATCCTGGTTTCAGACGAGGTTAGATTATTGGGAGATTTGGGATTGAACTCCCTTGGGCTGAAAGAAAGTCCTAACTAATCAGCAACTAATAAAACCGTTGACCATGTACATTTGCTCTATTGGTGCTTATATTTAAGGCATATTTGTTGATTTGCCTACAGAATTTGTATACAGCTGACAATTTTTCTCCTGAACTTTAATTTTATTCGATTATCCTCTGAACTTTTATAATTAGCTAATTTTCCTCTCAAACTTTGATTTTAGCCGATTACCCCCTGAATTCTTATAAATAGCCAATTCTCCCCCTGACGCTAGATTTTAAAAAGTTTCGTCCAATTTTCCGTCCATTTTGATCACGCAGACAACACATGACAACTGTATAAAGGTAAAAACAATGGAAAATTGGATGGATGGAAATTGGATGAAATTTTTTAAAATCTAACATTACGAGGATTTGGCTATTTATAAAATTTTAGGGAGGTAACCTGCCAAAGTTCAAGTTCACAGGGGGAAATTGGCTAATTATAAAAGTTTAAGTGGTAATTGGCTAAAATTAAAGTTCAGAGAGGAAAATTGGCAACTCTATACAAGTTTGAGAGGCAAACCGACAAATACCTCTATATTAATACAATCACATATAATTCATGTGTGTATATTTATTCGCATTCATGAGTTTGGTAACTATTTGAATAATTAGGTCGGATCAGATTTTTATATAATTTAATTTAAGACATGAAAAAGATTAAAATTGTTATAGTCCTAATTTAGTTAGAAATATGATTGTGTAAATCTTGAGAATCCTTATTGGGATTCTGAAATTGGTACCATTGGAATATGTTGTATATAAAAATTATAATCCGCTGAACTGACTAGTCAAGCCCACTAGTCACCTAAGATAGATTTGCTAGTTGATAAATTTGAGATTCAAATACCAATTTCAATCCCCAAAAAACTATCCTAGTCAGCAAGGCTATAGATCGTTGCAAGTTATTAATGTGTCAAGTGACCATGACAGTGAGCACATACCAATTAAATGTTCAATAGATATATGTACCATGTATGTGTATGTGGGATGTGTGACACAATAAACATAACTTGAACACAAGATATTTTTTACCCGAAAAACCAACCTCTGGGTTAAAAAAACCTAAGACTCTCCTCTGAGTCCAATCCACTAGTGTAAACAAAGGTTCATACAAAGACCACACAAGCTCAATTCCTAGATCCCTATCTATGGAGTAGCTTTACCTTTGTGCAACCTTGCCTTACACGAGATGGACTTCTTCGGTCTGCACAAAGTGGCAGCTCATCTTGAGCTCATCACGTTGTGGCATCGAAACCAACATGATCAATTATATGATATGATTTTATGATATGCACATGAAATCTGGATTCAAATGACCAGTCAAACAATTGAAGGAAGAATCTAACTTGAATCCAAAAGTTTGGTCTAAAAACGAATTTAAAGCTTAAAACCATACCAAGACATAAATGCAAAACCTTAAAACAATGCAATCCTAATATACAATGATTGGGTGTTTAATGCATGAGGAATGTTTGGCAGTTAGGGTTACATAAATTGAGAAGATGCAAGCTTAAAGCCTTTGAGGCAACTCTCTTTGTCTCTAAAAACTAAGTTCTAAACCCCCAACAACAATTTGAAACCCTAGAAGTTAATATACCCAAGGAAATCAAAATTTCCATTAGCCAACTTGTTCCCAGGACACTTATCAGCTGCAAAAGAGATCTAGGCAAATCAATGGCCAAAAATTTACTACCATCAGAAAGGTCAGCCCCAGTGTTTTAAAAATAGCCCTAGGCGTTGAGCGATGAAGCCCCGATGTGAAATTGGGAAAATCGTTACAGAAATCAGTCGAAAGTTAGGCGGTCGTCTAGGCGCACTCCCTAGGAGCTCTAGGCAGTGCTAGGCGGCATGTCTTGGCGGATTGAATCTTGTCATCTTTCGTCGCTGGTTTTGCTACTTCCGTTTCGAACTCGCTTCTTCGGCTCTATGCACAGTTCTCGCCATCGTCTTATGCTATGTTCTAAATAATGCTATCTCATTTAAGCAGACTCGCATCTGCAACTTGAACTCTCGCGACGTCAAACTCGAAGAAGAAGGGATTTATAGAGGGAAGATATGAAAGAGGAGGAAGACGAAACATAAAAAAACCTAATAGAAAATAAGATGTGAGAGAGGAAGAGGAAACGGAATAAAAAAAACCCAAAATAAAGGGCACTCTGGTTTCCAAAGCATCAAAATGTGTTGTAGTGTGTGCACCACTCTTCTGTATTTACCATCATTGCCCACCCCAAGCCTTATCATTAAATATTATGACTAATTTTTTCCTTAACCCTTCCCCCTCTTTCTAAGACTACAGAATGTTCTTGTAAATTATTTGGCCAATACCAGGTATATAAGTAGTGATTTCAAATCCAGAGGTTAAGCGTACTCTGACAACTTTACGTAAGACAGAGTTTGGTTTTTTGGGGGTGATAGTGGAAAAGTTGACAGATAAGTCACCTTACTGCCACTCTACAGAACCGTATATTAGATTTTCACCTCATACGGCTCTATTTTCTACACTATTAAATCTTTGATATAGGATTGAGACCTTGGGTAATGTGAAAGAGGTAGAGTGAATCTTTTGATCTGGCTCCATCGATTGCAGTGATATGGAAAAGGTGGAATGAAGGCATTGTGGCTGTTTTTTCTCCTTTGATGTTGTTATTATTTTTTTAAACACAAATCATATTATATACTTGAAATATTATGTTACAAACTTACACACACACACATATATGTGTGTGTGTGTGTGTGGATTATTCTTTTGAAAAATAGCATATTATTCAATATTTATTTATATATTATATAGTAAAATTTAATTAGTTTATATAATATATAACAAATTTACTAAATCCGTCTAGTCCATTTAGGCTCCCGCCTAGGCGCTAGGCCTCAATATGCCGCCCGACTAGTGCCTAGCGTCTTTTAGAACCTTGGTCAATCCATGTGGGCTATCTTAATCTGTGTGCCTAGATAGTTGGAAGTTAGTGCGTAAAGTTGACTAGACAATCAGACTAGATAGAATGCAACACAAATAGAGATATGAAATGCACATGCATGAACAAACCTTTGAGTTGAAATGTGCCACTTCTTGAACATTTACTCCAGCAGTAACAACCCATAATCTGAGTATATTCTAAAGTTAGATTGAGCATGTGTGATGGTTCAATTACAATATTTGACAAGGAAAGCCAAACACTTAAAGCTAGACTTTACAGATTCTACAATACCTTATCTTTAGATAGTATCTTTTTTAAGTTATAATTCTTATTGGGTAAGGAATTTACCTTCCCTTCTATGATAAATAACGACACAATAGTTTGAGATCAGACACACCTTAAACTCTCTCACTATTGCTGTTGCACCCCTCTCTTTTCCGCTCTATAATTCTTCACTTAAAAAGGCTTATAACTGTTATCAGCACACTATAACATAATGCTAAGGAAATTGACGCTAAGGAACTAAAGGTTCGTGGAGGAGGTTCTTCTACAAATTCAAATGCTCAATTTCATTTTCTGGCATTCCTCATGATCCATGAACCCCCAATTTTATATTTTTCTATATATATATATATATATATATATATATATATATATGTGTGTGTGTGTGTGCGCGCGCGCATTCATATGCAACTTATAAAATCACTATGTTACATTTGTGAGTCAAAGAAACCGAAAGAAAACAGAAGCACGAATTTTGGGTTTTGAAAACCCTATAATTGAAAAAATATATTTTTTTTTTAGGGAAATAGAAGCTAAGTCTTGGCCTAGAGCCACACCGCAGCCGAGTCGTGAACCTAGCCTAGCCAGCAGCTCAGGCATGGCTCCCTCTCTTAGACATCATCTTTTGGCATCTAGACCCAAGCCGGAACCCTGTCAAAAACTACAGAGAAGAACCCAGAACATTGTCAGGGCTTCCCTGCGCTATATTTCAACGATTTCACACTCCAAAACCAACCCAAAACACGAATTAAGGTCTAGGAAATTACCTAAACCCAAATTTGGACCAATGGAGGTTGAATCCACCTCGATTTCCAACACGATTTTTATGTTTAAAACCCTTAATATAGGATCAAGAACTTACCCAAGTGAAATGTAGGAGATTTCATAGAGAATTACAACTCAAACTCATTAGAGTTTATCCGTTTGCCTTTGTCGGAAATTGGAAACATGAAGGCAGTGTGCATGTAGAGGTTAGAACAACAATTTCACTCTCAAAACATCATAAATCTCGTCCCCATAAACCCAGAAATGGAAACAAGATGAGGAAGCTCCTTAGCCGTCTTCGAACTCGACAGTTTTCACCAGAGTTCGTCGCTGGAGTAGGGCAAACATGCACATAGTTAACGGGGTTTAAACCCACATATTTAAGTGCAAAAACCACCACATGAACATGTAGATAGCAGAAAGATTTACAAATTTAGAAAGAAGTTTCACCTGGGTTTGAGTTTGCCCTTACCTCGACTCGCTGCTTTGCAGCTTGATGGGTCGCTTGTGCATCCTTGTCCCGAAAGCCCAATGCTTACAGCTTTACTGTAGGGCCATGTACACATCAGCCAGCATAACCTTGATAGGCTGCAACCCTTTTTCGACCCAATGCTAATTTTTTGGCCATGTTTCTTTTTAGCTACACCCAATATTTTTGGGTGTCTTAGGCTAAAGCCCTATTAGTCTGTATTTTCAGAATTACTTAACCTGAAGCCAACTAAAGCTATATGACCTGAACATCATTATTATTTTCTTCCATGATTAACATGAATGGTCTCGATCTATTGAATTAATTTAAGTGACTAGCAATCCATTGCAGGGACCCAATGTTCTAACTATATTTCTATATATCTTTGATTTTCCATATAAATAACCACGATCTTGCTCCTTCCATTGCAGGGACATGTCGAACTTGAATAAACTCGAATTTACCGTTCTAGAAGTATCCGGAAGAAACTACCTAAAGTGGGTTCAAGAGTAATGGTTTAATAATGATTAAAGGGGACACTATTTGGATCGAAAATGAACATTGGGTCCAACCACAACCCAATTCTC